TGCCCCTGAAAGTTCCCATGGGGCCCTGCCTGAGGGAACCAGGCCTCCTGATTCCAGCACCAGGGATGAGGTTTGCCTGTTGCAGATTATCACACAGAGGCACCCTGCGTGCACAGTGTCTGACTTTTTTCACTGAGCACAATTTTATACCAACCTCATTGTCACATGCATTGGTAGGTTGTTTCCTGCTGAGGAGAAACCACGGTATAAGTATATACAAAATGTGTTTCTCCGTTCACCTGTTCATAGACATGTGGGTTGTTCCCTGTTTTTGGCTATTACCAACAGAGCTGCTGCAAATCATCTTGCACCTGTGCTGTGTGGACAAACCTTTCAGGGTTCCTCGAATCACCTGGACTGGGACTGCTGGGTCACAGGGTATCAATTTAATGAATAAAAACTGCCAGTTTGCCAAGGAGGTGGTACCATTTTATACTCTTGAAAAGAACATGTGAGAGTCCTTGTAGTCCCATATCCGTGCCAACACTTGGAATTGCCAGATTATTTAATTTTAGCCATCTGAATGGGTGTGTTGTGCTTTTAATTTGCATTTCCCTGGCAGCAATTAACAGTCAGCACTTTTTCATGTGCTTATTGGACCCTTTAGGTATTTTGCTTTCTGAAGTGTCTTTTCAAGTATTTTGTCTATTTTTATTGGATTGTTTGTATTTTTGTTGTTGAGTTGTAGGGATTCTTTATATATGCTCCATACTATTTCTCTGTCAGATATAGGGACTGTGAATATTTTCTCTCTGTCTGTGGTTTACTTATTATTTTCCTAACAGTGTCTTTTGATGATAAAAAATTTTTTAATTTCAGTTTTGATATTTGATTTATCAATTTTTAAGTGGCTAGTAACTCTGGTATCCTCTCTTAACAGATTTTTTCCTATCTCACAACTGTGACAATATCCCAATACATTTCCTTCTGTTGTTGTTGTTGTCAGGTACTGTCGAGTCAGCGCTGACTCATAGTGACCCCATGTACAACAGAATGAAATGCTGCCCGGTTCGGCACCATCCTCACAATCCTTGCCATACCTGAGCCCATCACTGAAGCCGTTGTGTCAATCCATCTCCTTGAGGGTCTTCCCCTTTTTCACTGACCCTCCACTTTACCAAACAACAACAACAACAACCACTTTACCAAACATGATATCCTTCTCCAGGGAATGATCCCTTCTGACAACATGACCAAAGTCTGGTATTCTTGCTTCCAAGGAGCATTCTGGCTGCACTTCTTCCAGGACAGATCTGTTAGTTCTTCTGGCACTCTGTGGTACTTTCAGTACTCTTTGCCAACACGACAAGTCAAAACCATCAACTCTTCTTTGGTCTTCATTGCTCACTGTCCAGCTTTCACATGCATATGAAGTGACTGAAAATACCACGGCTTGGGTTGTTGTTGTTGTCACGTGCTGTTGAGTCAGACCTGACTCACAGCGACCCCTCCTTGGGTTTCCAAGATAGTATAACTATGCAAGTAGATTGCCCAACCTTCCTTCTGAGGAGTGGCTAGTGAGTTTGAACTGCCAGCCTTCTGGTTAGCAGTCAAGTGCCTTAGGCACTACGCTACCAGAGCTCCTACAGGTTGGGTTAGGCATACTTTAGTCTTCAAAGAGGTATCTTTGCTTTTCAGCATTTTGAAGAGGTCTTTTGCAGCAGATTTGCTCAGTGCGATGTGTCATCTGTTTTCTTGCCCACTGCTTCCATTCCTGTTGATTGTGGAACCAAGTTAATATGAAATCTTTCACAACTTCTATCTTTTCTCAATTTATTGTGATGCTGCTCATAGGTCCAGTTGTGAGGATTTTCGTTTTCTTTATGTTGAGGTGTAATTCATACAGCAGACTGTAGTCTTTAATCTTCATCAGTAAGTGCTTCAAGTTATCTTCACTTTCAGCAAGCAAGGTTGTGTCGTCTGCATATTGCAGGTTGTTAACAAGTCTTCCTCCAATCCTGAGGCCATGTTTTTCATACAGTCCAGCTTTTTGGATTATTTGCTCAGCAAACAGATTGAATAAGTATAGTAAAAGGATACAATCCTGACACACTCCCTTCCTGATTTTAAGCCATGCAGTATCCCCTTGTTCTGTTTGAACAAGGGTCTATGTACTGGTTCCTCACGAGTACACTTACGTGTTCTGAATTCCCATTCTTCTCAATGTTATACATAATTTGTTTTAATCCACACAATCGAATGCTTTTGCATAGTCAATCAAACACAAGTAAACATCTTTCTGGTATTCTCTGCTTTGAGCCAAGATCCATCTGACATCAGCAATGATATCCCTCATTCCATCCAGATATCCTTCTTTTGAATCCAGCTTGCATTTCTGTAAGTTCTCCGTCATTACACTGCTGCAATTGTTTTTGAATTATTGTCAGCAAGATTTTATTTGTGTGTGATATTAACAATACTGTTCAGTAATTTCCACATTCTGTGGGATCACCTTTCTTTGGCCATGAGTACAAATATGGATCTCCTCCAGTCAGATGGCTAGGCAACTGTCTTAAATTTCTTGGCATAGATGAGTAAGTGCCTCCAGCACAACATCTGTTTGCCGAAATATCTCAATGGGAATCTCATCAATTCCTGGAGCCTTATTTTTCTCCAATTCTTTCAATGCAGCTTCTTCCTGTTAAATCACTGGCTCCTGACCCATATGCCACCTCCTGAAATAGCTGGACACTGACCAGTCTGTTTCTGTACAGTGCCTCTGTGTATTCCCTCTATCTTCTTCTGGTGCTTCCTGGATCATTCAATATTTTGCCCAAAGGATCTTTCAATATTGCAACTCGAGGCTTGGATTTTTTCTTCAGTTCTTCAGCTTCAAAAAGATATAATCAATATATCAAGATATAATAATCAACATATCTTGATTGCATGTTTGGTCAATTTCAGACTACAGAAGTTGGTAAAAATCTTCAATTTCCTTGTCTTCAGCTTTAGTGGTTAGTGTGTAAATTTGAATTACTGTATTAGCTGATCTTCCTTGTAGGCATAGGGATATTATCTTATCACTGTACTTCAGGACAGATCTTGAAACATTCCTTGTGACAATCAATGGCACACCATTCCTCTTCAATGTCATTCCTGCCACAGCAGATGATAGGACTGGCTAATTCAAGATGGCCCAAATCAGTCCATTCCAGCTCACTAATGTCTAGCATATCAATCTTTATGGGTCCCATTTCATTTCTGACAACTTCCAATTTTCCTACATTCGTACTTTGTACATTCCACGTTCCAATTATTAATGGATGTTTGCAGCTGTTTCTTCCCATTTCGAGTAGTATGGAGGTCCCGAAAGATTTGCTCCATCCTCATCATTAGGGCTGACTCTACTCTGAGGAGGCAGCTCTTCCCCAGTCATATTTTGAGTGCCTTCTGACCTGAGGGGCTCATCTTCCGGCACTATATCAGACAACGTTTCAGGGCTGTTCATAACGTTTTCCAGTGATATACCAGACAGTGTTTTATTGCTGTTCCTAAGGTTTTCATGGGCCAATTCTTTGAGAAGTGGATGGCTCCTTCCTTCCTCCGAGTCTGTCTTGGCCAGGAAGCTCCACTGAAACCTGCCCACCATGGGCGACCCTGCTGGTATCTGAAGTACTGGTGGTACAGCCTCTAGCCTCACAGCAACACGCAAGCCACCACAGTGCAACAAACCGATTGATGAGTGGTGTTGTTTCCTTCTAGAAGCTTTCTAGTTTTAGCTTTTATATTTAGGTCTAAGGTCTGTCTCAAATTAGCTTTTGTGTGTGATGTGAGACAGCAGTTGGGATTCAAATGTTTTTCTACATGGATATCCAGTATTTATTGACAATATTTTCCTATCTCTGTTGAAGGCCTTTGAAGACTTTGTCTAAAATCAATTGACTGTGTAATGTGAGTTATTTCTGGACTCTTATTCTCTCACTGATCTATTTTTCTATTGTTATTCTATTATTACACTTTCCTGACTGTTGTTATTGCAGAGTAAATCTTTGAATCAGGTTCTGTGAGTCTCAAGTTTTGTTCTTTCGAGTCTGCTATGCTATTTGGGGTCCTGTCAATTTCCACATCCATTTCAGGAGCATCAATTTCTACAAAGAAGCCTTCAGAGAGGTTTACTGGAATTGTGTTGGGTCTACAGATAATCTGGGAAGAACTGACTTGTTAACAATAATGAGTCTTCCAAACCACAAACATGGTTTATCTCTCTAGCTACAGGTCATCTTTAATTTCTCTCAGAAATTATTTTGTAATTTTGAGGGTAGAGAACATACATATACTTTGTTAAATTTACTCTAAGTATTTTGGTTTTGATGCTATTGTTCATTTTTTTTTTAATTGCATTTGTAATTGTTCATTGCTAGTCTATAGGGATGCTACCTATATGTATCATCTACTTTTTTTTAACTTGCATACATACATATTTCAAACTAAATTAAAAATATGTCCCTTCCTTCTTTTCTTCATCCAAACCCCATTCTTCTATCTATCTGCCTCTTTCCTACCTTGTGATCTCACCTAGCTCCAGGGACTCAGGCTGGTAGCCATGGAAGTCCTGGGGCTAAGGAGAAGAGGGAGAAGGAGGGGACAGCCAAGCCTCCCACAAGGTCAAAGGCCATGCCTCACCTTGTGAGGCCCCAGCTGGTGGGTCTGGCTCCCCTAGGGGTAGTGAGATGGAGGAGAAGGAAGCCTGCCCCCGATGTCTATAATCAAGTCACGTGTCCACACAAGCACCTGGAGAACAGATGAGGCTACAGCAGGTGAAAAAACTTGGGAAGAACATGACAGTTTTTATCTCCATTACAGAAAGAGAGCAAACAGGTGGGTGGCCTGCATCCCAGAACTAAGGACTTGCCTAGCAGCCCCTACCCTCCACACTGGCTCCTGTCCAGCACCACGACTGTGTGCTGATGGCACTGGGGAGGCAGGACTCACATAAGGTCAGCTCACCCGTGTCCTTCAGCCTCCCTGCCCTGCCTCAGCCCCTGGACCAGTGCCCACACTCACTCGAGGACGGACAGCGAGGTGGCCTGCGGGTGGTAGCGGTAGAGAAGGAGGCTCTGTTCCACACGGATGACATGGCCACCCTGGCGGAGATGCTCCTGGAAGAAGAGCAGGTCCTCGGGGATGCCCTGTGGAAAGGCTGGCCTGAGAGTCTGCATGGACAGGACCAACGAGCCTACCAAGCATCTGACGTGGGAGGGCAGCTGTGTTGGGGGCTCAGCTGGACTCCTGGAAGAAGCTGTGCATGGGGCAGGGGTAGGGGGCAGGGCTGGTAGGAGGTATGAGGGAGGGGGAAGGAGTGGCAGGGGAGGGATGAAAGGATGGGGGTGACAGTAAGGGGAAGGAGTGATGGGGAAGGGTGGGCATGGCAGAGGGGTGATAGAGAGGGGTGGGTATGTGTTCTGGTTCCCTAGTACCACTCTGACAAGAATATACCACAAATGGGATGGCTTAAACAGGAGTTTATTCTTACAATTTGGAGACTTTAAGTCCAAGTTCAAAATGCCAGGCTCTAGGGGCTGGGTGAAAGCCCCTCAGCCTCAGGCTTCAGCCCTGTCTCCAGCTCCTGGCCCACTGAAGCTAGAGGCTTTTCTTCACTCAGCTGCTGGCTGCTGAGGCTGCCAAGCCCAAGGTTGACAAGTAAAAAGGCACAGTCCCGAGGTTACCAAACCACATGGCAGGTCATTCATTCAAATCTATTGTAAGTCCCAAGGTCGGCAAAGCATGGCAGACTGCTGAACAACAACTTGGCTACATGCAGGGTCCAAGCATGCCATAAGCTAGAGACCATTCCCAAAGCTGTTTCTTATATATGGGAAGCAAACCACATCCCCAAAGGCAGCTACCAGCTGCTCACAGTAGATTCCACCATGGAGCTGATTACCAGTCTCATCATGGAGAATACTACATCCAGCTTCCCAGCCACTCAACAAGGCCCAGCCAAGCTGATACACAAACTGAACTACCACAGTATGGCAGAGGGTTGTCTCCACTCAAGAGGACACGTCCCTTCAGAGTCTCATCCCCACATTCCACAGGGCTGTGAGGGCCAGTGTGGGTCCTGGGGGGCTGTGGGCCACTACCATAGTGCCCTCCTCAGATAGACTTTCTAGCAAATCCAGAGAGAAGTGGTCAGCAGGAAACTGTCCCAGGTTTAAGCAAGTAAGTGGTTACCCCCAGGCCACTACTGGTGACCCCATGAAAAGACCAGTCTTGTGGCTGAAAGACCGTCAACATTAAGTCTCATAAACAAATTTGCTAGGGATTCCCTAACACGCCTCAAAGACCCTGAACTTAGACCATACCTCACCAGAGTTTCTTACAGGCAGGCTGCCCCTCAAGGAACCTTGACCTTGGAGGCCATTTCCTCAGGGCTGCTTGAGGAGGCACTCGAGTGAGCCCTGTGCTCCAGAGATGACTCCCCCCTCAGCCACCGCAGTCCTGCACTTGCTGTGTGACAAGGTCCCAGAGGAGGTGCCCTGCCTAGGGCTTTGAGATGAGACCACTGGTTCTGGAAATGTCAGGATTTGATGTTAGCTGAGGGGCTGGAGGACATGGGTTGGGAAAGGGGCCACAGGCAGGCTGCTGAGGCCTTCTAGGGGCCTGGGCTATGAACCAATCCGGGTCCAGGGGCTTCTGCTCAGCGTCTTGTGCTCTCAATCACTGTCAGAAACAGGATCCTTGGGGCTTTCTCTCCAGGGTCACAAAGGTGAACCAGGTGTGGTCCGAGGCTCAGGATCCTGGGGCCTTGCCACAGTGCCTGCACTTGGTATCTCTCTGAATTTTATAGGGAGCCAGCTGGTTTCATGCTCAGGTGGGGAGAGCTCCAGGCCTGGTCGCCAGCTGGATCCCCGTCTTCTGACGGTGCTGATCTTGTTCCTCAATTCGGGCTGAGATGCTGCAGGCACACCTGGCCGGCCACCACCTTACCCTCAGTCACTTCATGAAGGGATCACTCATCTTGGAATTACTGGCCAAGTCCAAGTTCATTTTCTTATGGGTCATAAGCCAGGGCCTCTAGAAGACCACCCTCAAAGCATCAAGGACAGAGGCTGATCTAAGGAAATGGTCCTTGACATGCTAAGTCCACACAGATACTCAGAGCAGTGTCATGCATGCCAAGGAAAAGCAGAACCACTCTAAGTTCCAATGCTGGTGGGTGATGACGTAAACTGAAGCACCTCTACCTGACAGAACACTCTGCAGGAATTAAAACAGGGTTTTTAATCAGACTGTAAAAAATAATAAAAGACCATGAAATAACAGCAAGGTTGATAACAAAATGCTAAGTTAAAAACAGATTTCAAAATCACGTTTACAGCTTTGCCAAGTGTGTCCACAGCAAAGTGAAGACAAAGGAACACAGCTAATCTCACAGCAGTTGTGTGTGGGATGGGCTTACAGGTAAGCTGTGTGTATTTTCCTCTAATTTTGTTGTTATTTTTTAAAAATTTTATTGTGATTTGAATGAAAGTTTACAGAGCAAATTCATTTTCCATATAGCAGTTCACATATACTTTGTCACATGACGTTGACTGCAAATTCCTACAATGGAACAGCTCTCTTCCCATTTCCTCTCCATAGTTACCTCTTCCCTGTGTGCTTCCCTCCCATGTACTCCTGCCCCAACGAGCTGTCTCCCTGTGCATACACAGCCCTTCTATTCTCTCACAACTGATCTCTCTAAGGAGTGTAGCTACCTAATATAAATGTTCAGCTCATGTGCCTGTTTCTTGTTTGGCTGGAAGCACAAGAGTAGGTTCAATTCCAGACCTGTAGGGCAAGTAGGGGCCATCGTAGTTTTGAAGGTGCCATCAAAGAGCATGAACCCTGTGCTCATTACAAGGTTAGGACAGAGAGAGACACGGTGCTCATGAGTTTACTCTCAATGGTCAGGAATAATTGAGCCCTTGGGGCTTCCTTATGTTCTGGCAAAAAAGAAAAGGAAAATATTTAGTCCAAGGAGGACCTCAGGCAGCCCCTCTTGTCCTCCTCAGACAGCAGGAGGCCCATGGGAGGCAGACAGGGCTGGTCCCCATCTTACTCTCTCTCCCAATCTCATGTTTCACCCAATTTCACTCCATCAGCCACTCTCCTTGGAAGGAAGGTTGGGCAATCTACTTCCATAGTGATACTGCCTTGGAAACCCAAGGAGGGGTCGCTATGAGTTGGGTCCGACTCGATGGCGATGAGTTGTTTTTTTCTTTTTATCTTCATTTCAGCACCCACCAGGCTACCCAGTATAGGAGGCCTGGGGATTTCACCATCACGTTCTCCCCACTTTGCCCACCCACCTCCACTGCAGGCTCCTGTTCACACAGGGCTGGGATTCTTGGAGGTAGCGGCTGTCCCTGATCCTGAATGAAAACTGCATGTCAACCCATGATGGAAGGAAGAGGAGCCACCGCTTAAAAATGACTTCTGGGTACCCGAGGAGATGGGGCCACTTAGACCCAAATCTTCCCACATATCCTCCAAACATTACCCATGTGAACCAGAGCAAGTGAGACCCACAGGTGCACACCATCAGCAGGCAGACGGACACCCATTTCCAAGTGAGCTGCCTCTTGGGCTCCAGTCACCTTTACAGGGACCAGGCATCCAGGAGAACTGAGCAGAAGAGGGAGGAAAGGGCAGGTCCACGTGAGCACACCATCCGGACAGAGTTCTAGCAGGCCAGAGTGTGGTCTGAGGGGAGAGACAGCAAAGGCACAGGAGGACACACCCCTGAGAGTGCAGGTAAAGCGAGAAGGAGCAAGCACAGGGCTGGGGCGATTCAGGGTCTGGAAAGACAGAAGGGGACCAAAGAATCCAGGGACACAGAATGCTTTCCCCCACCCTCACCCTGAAAAAAATCCACGAAAGGAGCTGCACTTCTCCACAGTGACAGAAGGGGGAGTTCTTGAGTCAGTAATCATGGGAACCACCAAAAGTGCTGTGCACAGAATGCACACACATGGGCCATCCTCATCTACACAAACCAGCCTGAGAGGAAAACAGAAGATAAGAACCAAACACTTCAGTGGGTGAAAATTCATCTCCCTCCCCCACCAACAATAACAACAAAACAAAACCATGAAACAAAACACACTGTAACGTAATGCTTCAAGCTAAAATACATGCCTCGACTAGCATTTGAGGATGTAGAAGGAGAGCCATCTTGAATGAGAAGTCAGTAACTAAGTGCAAAACTGCCCCCCTGCCCCCGCCAAGAAAAGGAAAAAGATATTTAAAAAATAAAGAATGGAAGAATGCAGATTAATGCTTGTCTAGAGCAGGGGGACAGGTGGGGAGCTGGGACTGCTCATGGGTAGAGGGCTTATTTTTCTGGATTAAAATATGTTCAAATATTAGATTGTAATGATGGTTGTACAACCCCATGGATTTACTGAAATCCACTGAATTGCACATTTTATTACATGAATTGTATAATACATGAATTATACCTCGATCCCACCCACTGCCGTGAAATCGATGCTGACCCACAGCGCCCCTGCAGGACAGAGTGGAACTGCCCCACAGGGTCTCCAAGGCTGTCAGTCTTCACAGAAGCAAAGCCCAAACCACATGCACTGCCATGGAGTCGATTCCAACTCACAGCGCCCCTAGAGGACAGAGTAGCACTACTCCATAGGGTTTACAAGGCTGTCAGTAACAAGGCTGTCAGTCTTTACAGAAGCACACTTTCTTGTCTTTCTCCCATGGAGCTGCTGGTGGGTTTGAACTGCCAACCTTTTGATTAGCAGCTGAATGCTTTAACCACTGTGCCATCAGAGCTCCTTATACCTCAGAAAAGCTTCTAAAAAAAAAAAGAGGGTTGGCTGAACTCAAAAACTAAATTGAAGAAAAAGACTAACCTGTATTGATGAGAAGTCAAGACTAAATTAGAAGGTCCTCAAGGGAAAGTAGATTTGAATGAAATTTTGAAATTAAAGAAATCTAAGAAAATAACCAGGAAAATGAAGATGATATAAAAAGAAATATGGATTAGAAAGAAAGTTTCTGAAATGAAAGACAGTCAAAGAAAATCTAACCAATGTATAACTGCGGTCTCTGAAACAGAAAAAACAAAACATTGGAATAGAGCTAATATTTGAACTATAATCTAAGAAAACATCCCAGAAATAAAAGCAGATCTGCTTTGATGCATTGTAAAGGTCCACCAGATAAACTTTAAAACAAACCATAGTGAAATTATTAGACTTTAAAGAGAAGTAAATCCTCAAAGCCTCCTAGCAAAAAGATCATGTAACTTACAAAGGTAAGGGAATCAAATTAGCATCAGACTTCTCTATAGCAACACATAAAGTGAGGAAAGAACAGAACAGTATTTTCAAGACATCCAAGGAAAGAAAGTGTGAACCAAGGATTTTCTATACAAACTATCCTCCCAGTATCAGGGCTGTAGAAAACAGTTTCCAAATGTGCAAGAACTTAAGGAATGCTGCAGCTCCATCCATCTGGAGGAGACACATGACTGGAGAAACTTCAGCAGAAGTCCTGATAGTGAATATTTAATTGAACTATAGATCAAGTTGACAAAAGAGAGGAACAAAGGTAGAATAATAATATACAAATGCTGATGCTCTGATGTCAGCAAGAATAATGCAACAAAAAAATGGAAGGAAAATGGCAAGAGAAGAGAAAAAATAGAATAATTTTGTAGACTGTTGTACAGGCAATAGTGAGATTCAAAATACCTTCATAATGGACTAAAGCAGATCATAGATTTAATAAGAAAACACGGGATAAAGGGCATGAAAAAGGCAGATAAATGCAAGGTAACCACTAGAACAAAATACAAACTTTCCTCAATCTCCTCCAAATTTTAAAAATACAAGAAAAGAGGAAGGCTGACTAGCCAGCCTTCCTTCCTGATGCCCATGAGTTTGCACATGATGTACAAGGCCAGGACCTGGAGTCTGGAGGGCACAAAGGCAAGTGCCCTTAGGGGGCAGAAAAAATGGCCAGAAACCAACAATGCAAGCACCCTGGACAGCAGAGGGCAGTGGGACACGCACAGTACCAGAGGTGAAGAGGAGATCCCAGGAGAGAGAGACCAAAAATGGGAAAAGATATTCACAAATCCAGTATCTGAATTAAATTAGCATTCAACTAAAATGAAACACCAACAATAAAAAGACAGCCCACTTAAAAATGGGTGGAAGATTTGGACATTCACAAAATAAGATACAGAAATGGCTAAAAGCACGTGAAAAACTGTTCTACATTAGTCATCTTGGAAAATAAAAATTAAAGGTACAATGAGAAACCACAGAAGACCAAGCAGAACAGCTAAACTTAAAGACTGACAATACCAAATGCTCGCAAGGAGTTGGGAACTCATGCACAGTGCCGAGAATATAAAATGTACAACCCTGCTGGAGAAAAATGTGACAGCACCTTATAAACTAGATATGCACTAACCGTTCACACAGCAATTCCAGTCCTAGGTTTCCACCCAATGGAAATGAAAGCACGTACCCACAAACGTTTCTGTCATGCTGACACAACGTTTTCCTGAATACCTTGGCCTTCCTATGGCAACGAGGAGCCTTCTCCAGGCTGTTCCAACTCAGTGTGAGGGGCCATGACCTGCCTTGTAAGCAAACCTGTTCCCAACCAATACCACGTTCCTTCTGCTCCTTTCATTTCTGTCTCAGGGCCTGTTGCTGCTGCGGCTGCTGCTCTGAGTCGGCACCAATGCATGTCAGCCTCACATGCAAGAGAACCACGTGGGGCCTGGTCCTGTGCGTTTCAGTCCACTGCTGCAGCTGCTGTCGACTGACAAGTACCCGCACTGAGGGTCTCCCTCCTTTTCAATGACCCTCTATTCACCAAACGTGATGGCCCTTCCCAGTGACTAACCGTTCCTGATGATGTGTCCAAAGGTAGTGAGCCCAAGCCTCGTCCTCCATCCTCGCTGACAGGGGCAAACGGTTACATGCCAAGGCTGGCAGCTCCCAGGGTACTCTCCACCAAAACCATAATTCAAAGGCGTGGTTCTTCCTCCGTCTCCCTTCTTCGTTGTTCTGCTTTTGTGTGCATCAGAGGCAACTGAAACAGCACGCCTTGGGTCAGGCACACTCATCAAAGCGATTCCTTTGCTCTTGAAAACCTTAAATAAGTCTTCTGAAGCAGATTTTTGTATGTTTTGGAATAGTCTGAGTAGGACTGGTGTCAGTTCTTCTCTGAATGTTTGGTAGAATCTCCAGTGAAACCATCTGGGCCAGGAATTGCAGCAGATATTTGAAATGTCCAGTGTCCTGCAAGAATCCAGTGGGGGTGTTCCTGTGCAACACATGCTTGTTCCCTTTAGAAGAAACAGGGGCAGCAGGAGCTGGGGTCTGGCCCAGGTGAGAACAGCAGCTGCCAGCAGTCACTCAGAGGGGTGGACACTTCTGGGGATGGACGTTCTTGTTTCACCAGCAGCCAGCCAAGTGCCTCCTGTTTTCAGCATCTCAACTGATGCACAGAGGCTGCCCTGGGCAGCAGCACCCGTTAACACCTCAGGAGAGGGGAGGGCAGGGGCACGCTCATTAATTCAGGTGAGAAAGCAGCCAGCACTGTGGTGCCCAGATCCCCACTTCATGGACCATAGATTCCATGAGAAATTGGCACATCTCTGCTTCTAACAGAGCAGGAAGGACAGGCACACAGCACTCGGTCAGTGGGTGCAGGAGCTATGCAGCACTGTGTCCACGAAGGAAGGTCAGCTCAAGGCCCTCCCACGTGTCAGCCTGAGACCAGCAGGGCTACAGGGACCCTCAGGAAGCCGTCCTGCCACTACAGGCACCAAAGACCCCTGCTCTGACTGCCTCCTCCTCATGGGCCTGGGTCCTCCCAACCAACCTTGGGAATGCAACACAGGCAGGGGGCATGATGGGGAGGCATGAGCTTCAGGTAGACCTGTGACCATGGCTGTCACTGAGTCTCCTTGGTGTAGACCTGAGAATACGCTGCTGCGGGTGGGTCTGGGGAAGCCCCTGTGGGGGACTGTGGCAGAGTGGTGTCAGGAACGTATCTGCCTGGCCTATGGAGAAGTTCCCAGAGTCAGCTGAGGAGCTGGGGGTGCGGGCAGTAGGTCGCTGTGAGGGGTGGTGCTGGGCAGGGGCTGAGGACAGGCACAGGCCTCATGCTGTAGGTTCACACAGTCCCTGTGCAAAAGGGGAAACTGAGGCAGACCTATCCTCACAGGGCAGGAAGAGGGGTCTCCAGCACCCCAGGAGCAGAGGCCTACCTAGGGTGTGGTAGGTATGGCTCATGCCTTTGGCACCACTTAAAGGGGTTAGCCAGTGAGCAGCTGAGAGCTCATTCTGCAATTTAAAACCAAGTACATAGGCACTGTTTTCAGTAGACAGGCCTCTGCCCAGAAGCCCTGACCCTTCTCTGCCAGCCTCAGGCTCCTTCCTGCCCATAGGTCTGGGCTCTGCAGGGCAGGGAAAAGTGGGTGGTGTCATGGGAGCTTCTGTGTACATATGCGGCCTCATCAAAGGCCCTAAAACAAAGGCCTGGCAAGGGCTCTCCTGCATGCCACCCCTGCCATCGAGACCAGACCTCACGTTCTCAAGATCCCCTTTACAGAAAGTTGATGTGAAAAAAACCGGCCAAACCTATGATTTGTATTTGCAGAAGGTGGGATGGGGTGGGCGATTCATTCTCACTCTGTCCGTGGAGTGACAAGGCATTGGCTTGAAAAGCCCTCTCCCATCAAGAAAGAAGAACTAGTAGCAGAATATATCCTTTGGGCCTGGGGTCCTTGCACTGAGAAACTCCTGGACCCAGTGTGTGGGATCATTCTCACTTTGTCTATGCAAGTAGCAAGAGGCCAGCTGGGCAGTCACCATGTCTCTACCTGTCACAGGTAGATCTGTTGGCTGGGCACTCCATCCCCTGTGGGGACCCCACATGGGAGCCACCCTCCTTCTCCCTAGATGCTGCCTGGCCTTGTTTGACAAACACCTTTTAAGCTGGGACGAGTTAACTGGGACCCGAGACAAGGAGCCTCCCAGCAGGTGTGAAGCAGCCATCGCTTTCAGCAAACCAAGGTGGTGGTGCCTGTGCTCACAGGCTTCACGAGCCTCACTCTGCCCAGCAGGCACAGCTTGGCAGGAGAGAGGAAGAAGCTAAGAAGGCTGGCCCGGGTCATGGGGAGCTCACACAGCCAGGACTACCTTGTGGAGAAGGGGACTTCCTTGGGGGCCTTTTAGCACCCCTCTTTTTAGCACTTACCTGTCCACCCTCATCAAACCAGCCAATGTGGGAAAACCACGCTCTGGAGCAGAACCAGGTGGGCATGATCACCGTCGGGCCATTTGAGGTAAAAACCTAGAAACAACCAGCGTTAAGAGAGTGAACAGGCAATCTGCAGCTCTCCTCCACAGGGCCAAGGGCTACAGCCAGGGAGGTGTCTCCCCAAAGGCTGAAAAATGAGGGGAGGGCACTTTCCCAAGGTCAGCCCAGGTCTCCATCCTATACTGTTTACTCAGGAGGACGCCCCTCTGCCTGGGATAGGTGAAATTCAGAACTGAAAATGCTATTTTAAACCCAAATAGAGCATCCAAGCACATAATGACTAGATGACTTAGATGAATGGATCATTTCCTAGAAAGACACAAACTACTGAAACTGGGTCAAGAAGAAACAGAAGTCTGAACAAGCCTGTAGGGAGGAAGGAGACTGACAAGGTATTGAAAACCTGCCACAGGACGCCCAGATGGCTTCTCTGGTGAATTCCACCAAGCACTTAAAGATATGTCATGAACCCTTCCCAAACTCTCCCAAAAATCTGGAGGCAGGAACACTTCCTAACTCATTCTGTGAGGGCATCACTACCCTGATAGCAAAGCCCAAGAAATGAAAACGACAGACAACTAACCTTATGGATACAGGTGAAAACATCCTCCACAAAACAGCAAACTGAGTCCAGCAATACAGAAAAAGGATTACACACCATGACCAAGAGCGCTCTCTCCCCAGAGATGCAAGGTTGGTTCAAAATATAAAGATCAATCAATGCAATTTACCGTATCAGTTGATTGAAGGACAACACTCACACGATCTTCGCAACAGGTGCAGAAAAGACTCTGATGACATCTAACAGCCTTTCATGATGAAACCACTCAAACCAGTAACTTCCTAATCTGATAAAGGACACTGTCATGAATTGAACTGTGTCGACCAAAATACACATCGATGCGGCAGGGCCATGCCTCAGTGGTACGTAAAGCCCCTTCCATGTGTGTGATCTGGTGGAGCTGTCCTCTGCTGTAAACCCTGATCCTATGAGTCAAGGAGGCAGGGTCAGGCTGTCAATCTCTTTGGAGACGTAAAGAGATTAAACAAGTGAGCAGAGATGAAAGCCCCTCCCACCAAGAAAGAAGAACGAGCAACAGAACATATCCTTTGGGCCTGGGGTCCTTGAACTGAGAAACTCCTGGACCCAGTGGAGACTGATGCAAGGACTGTTTCCCAGAGGGCTGGTGCCCTGAATTCAGATGCCTCGTCTTCTAAACTGTGAGAATAAATTTCTGTTTGTTAGCCTTCAGGCCTGGGCACTACCTTGACACCTCCTTGGCCAGGTGTGGACACCAGGTGGCAAGGATGTACCTGATGTACCTGTACCTCCTGTGTGAGTTCTCAGAGCCGGCTGGTGGGTGCTCCAGTGCCTGCCGCCCCCTGTGCGGGTCTTGGGGACGTCATGTGGCACCTCCAGTCCTTCCCTGGGGTGCTGTAGTGGTGCTGGTGGCGGCAGCAGTGCTGACGGCAAGGCCACAGCAGTGAGGGCCCAGGATGCACTGCCACAGGTCTGGCTGGGCTATGGGCAGGAAGATGTCCAAGGCCTCTGCAGTGGAGGTGGCAGTGGCTGCGAAGACCCCGACCCAGAGGTGACAGAGTGGAGGGGCCCAGGGCTGCCCAGCTCCAACAGGGAGGACGTGTTAACTGGACAGTCAGGCCCAGAGTGGCCCCACTCCAATGGGGAGGATGTGTTTACTGGACAGCTGGGCCCAGGACCACCCCACTCCAACAGGGAGGATGCATTTACCGGACAGTCGGGCCCAGGGTAGCTTTGCTCCAAAGGGAAGGACGTGTGTACTGGACAGTCAAAGATCTATTACTACATGTTGTTGTTGGTATTATGTGCTGTCGAGTCAGACCCAATGCATAGTGACCCCTCCTTGGGTTTCCAAGCTGGTATCACTACAGAAGTAGATTGCCTAACCTTCCTTCCGAGGACTGGCTGGTGGGTTTGAACCACCAGCCTTCTGGTTAGCAGTCAAGTGTCTTAGGCACTATGCCACCAGAGATCCCTATTCCTACATAAGCCTGGACAAATGCCATGGGATGCACTGCCCCCTCCAGGAAGAGAACTCAGATGCACACCATGTAGGCAAATGCCAGGGGGAACCATTACCTGGAATCTACTGGAAATGAGAAGAGACAGGAAACACTGGGAATGCAACCTGAAGCTCAGTGAAGTCCTAGGACCAGAAGAGCAAAGATACCAGGAGAGGCCCTTGGGCCCCTTTTCCAAACCAAAAATCTGAAGCAGCAGAGCCTCCAAAAGCCCAACTCATCTGGTGATCTTACCAATGTAACCATCACTGCGCCAGCCCTGAAGAAGCCCATCAAGGGCAACCACGGCCCACAGAAAAAGCTCGAGGAAAATGCAACAGAACGCAAAGCCTCGGGCTTCTACCCAGGCCGAAGGAGCCCCAGAAAGAGCAAAGCCGAGCTGTGGTCCGAAGACAGGAGAAGGGCTCCCGGGCTGACTGGAGATAGAAAGGGAGGACGAATGAAGACGGACCTTGCTAACGGCAGAGGCAGGCGGGTGATCCCACCCGGCAGCACTTGCGGGTGAATCTGAGGTGGAGAATCGTAGCCCCACTGAGACCACCAATGCCAATAAGTGGAGGTTCTGGATCCCACGGCTGCTCCACGTGCAGTACTGCTACAGCAAGGTGCCACTCGACAGACCAACTGCCTGGGACACCCACCAAGCACGGCAAGGGTAGGAACTGCCAGACTGAAATGCACAGTGTGGACGGCACCACACCTCATCCTCGTGTGGCTGCGATGCACGGCAAGGAGGTGCTGCCGTAACTTTGTGTCTGCAGCAAGGCCTCTGTGGAAGCCTACCCCTCGCTGGAGAAAGTGCCCTCATGAGAACTGATTTTTTTCTTTTTCTTTTTCCCTTTCGTTTTTCTGGTTTTTAGTTTGCTTGTATTTGTCTGTTTTAAAAGTACTATTCGGTTGGGCAATCCTACTTCCGTAGTGATACTGCCTCGGAAACCCAAGGAGGGGTCGCTATGAGTCGGGGCCGACTCAACGGCAAATAACAACAACAACAACATTCTTATTAATGGCAGCTCTGGTAGCATAGTGCCTAAGGCACTTGACTGCTAACCAGAAGGCTGGCGGTTCAAATCCACCAGCCACTCCTCGAAAGGAAGGTTGGGCAATCTACTTCTGTAGTGACACTGCCTCGGCAACCCAAGGAGGGGTCGCTATGAGTCGGGTCTGACTCGATGACACCTAACAACAACAACAACAACAACATTTGTCCTTTTTACTATTATTAATTTTTCTTCCCCTCCTAGGTCCTAGTTTTTAAGCTTCTTTTTCTTTTCCCTGTTCCTGGTTGCAATTATTTTCCCCCTTTTTTCTCATGGTTAACACCGTTCCTTGTTTTTCTTTTTGCATTTTCCCCATTTTCTCTTCATTATTCTCCTTCTCTACCTTTTTTTCTTAGTGCCCTATCCCCAGATATTGCAGGTTTTCTTGTTTTTTTCTTCTTCTTTTTCCCTTTTTTGGTTACTGTTCCTGTGTGATTACATGGTGTATTTTTTGTCCATGTGCTTTTAGTTTTTTGATGGTTATTCAGTTTTAATTTTTGTCTAACTGAGTGGGAGACAGCAAC